CAAGAAGCTACTATAAACAAGAATTCAATAGAATTAGAATCAGATATCTCTTCCAATGTCCCCACGTTGGGCATCGAGAGCTGATTGGCTTCTCACTTCCGACCCTGTGGTCCCCTCCTCAGGCTCAGTGGCGCTTGTCCAGGACGTCGTCAATGCAGCAACACCACGATCCTTCTCAGCCTGGCTGGGCTCAACGTCATCCTCATTTGGCTCACACTGCCACCAATCAAGGTTCAGGGGCTGCAACCTGCAAGTGACCACAGAAGAATGCCTTCCCGTCGGCGACGATCTTCTCTAGGTGATTCTAGGTGATAGTTCTGTTTTGCCTCCGGCATTCTCGATGCGAATGCCCAACTCGCTTGCATATCGTGCACTTGTTTTTCTGTTTCAGGTGCTCGATTTGTTCTTGCCCTTTCCTTTGTCCTTCCACATCCTCGGTCCACTCCTTTGCCTTCTTAACTTTCATACACCTGGCTGAAGGTGTGCTTCTGCATTGTGTTCAGGACCTCCCGAATCTCATGCTATCCGCAAGGGGTTCCTTTTCTCCAAGTTCTTCCAAAGCAGCCTCGATTTCACTCTCGCCCATGAACTCTGTGGAATCGTCGGCAAGCACATGGTGTGCAGCTGAGGTTGATGAAGGCCGGGATGAAGTGTTTCCTTAGTCTAGTCCTGGTCAACCCCGCCCGCCATCAACTTGGTCTTTGCGTTTCCAGGTCACAACGCCGATCACATCCTTGGTCACAACGCCGCCCCTCGCCGATCCTGTGCTCCAAAATGATTGGACCCTGTGCTGTCTTCTTGGCTCAAAGTTTTCTTTGATCAGCCAACCCTGGAAGGGACTGCTTTCACCGTCCCATTCAGATGGCTCGAAACTGGAGCCATCCCACGGTCTCGCTCTCTTCGAACTCTATATCCGTCAGTGTTGAAGCCGTCTGACGTCCCCCGGCTCGCTGCGCTCTCACGCCCATCCTTTCGGAGAGCCGCAGTGAATCATTTCCGCGTGGCATCATTACGCATCGATTGTGCAGTTTTAAGCCTTTCAAGCACAGGGTGAATCATCCGATTGTGCTTCTTTATATCATAGTTGCAGTTGGACCTGGAAAGGGCCCTGACAGCTGTTGGTGTTCACCATTTGTCACAACGCTACCTATCGAATTTATTGGTATTTATCGACCTAGTTAGATATCACAGTGTAAGTGCCAACCCAATTTACTTTTTTGTGCGTGCACTACAGTGTGTGTCTCTATGTGCACTAGAGTCCATGTGTGAAGTTCAAAAGCGTCGGACGCATGGCAAAAATGGCGCCAAAGGTCGAATCCGACAAGTGCCTTATTAGTAACAATAAGAATTATAATTAGCAAAGAATCTACGTTCGCTTCTTGTTACTACTAGTAAGGCACTTGTTACTAGTAGCGATGCACTTGTTACTAGTAGCGTGGCACTTGTTACTAGTAGCTTCTTGCTCCTAAGTGTTTCCTGTCTTGGCTTTTAAGCAGTTGCCGCAGTTGTCCGCTTGCCCACACAAGTGGCTTACCTCTCAGGAGCTTGATGATCATGGCATCGGCAGCCTCAATCATAGCGCTTGGCTTGGTTTCGCTTCAGTTTTTTCCAAACTGATGTCGTGAGGGCAACCTGTAAAGATTGGACATTAGACTGACCATGTGATCGCAAGGCGCTGTTCTGAGCATTGTGCAATCCTTGTGGAGCGGAAGACTCAACCTCCCAAAGCAGGGAATGGAAGACTTCCGTATGGATGCGCGCTGCTCTCAAATCAAGCATTCCTATATATACATCAGCTGATTGAAAAGCGGAAGTGACACAGTGACATGGTCAGGTTTTGTTTATGTGTGTGTGTGCAAAGTTTGGATAGTTTCTCCTCATTTGTTTTGAGGTCGGCGCTTATGGTTGTTGTTGACAGACGACGAAGCGGTTCGTTGACGTTGGGTGAGTTCACGGAGTACATACAAACCCTAGTAGAGGTTGCAAGAACGTACGACGCCAATCTCCAAGACGGCAATGGTCAACAAACAATGCTGATGCAGGATGTATATGACAGCTTTTTCACTCTCTTGCGAGATATACGCTATGGGATGTATGTGTTGAAGAAGCGGTTGCAAAGGCGGCTGAGGCCCCTGGAGCAAGCCATGCTGAAACGCACGACCCAGGATGTTTTATCTATTTTACCCTATTTGCTTGTTGCTCGCATGAAACTCTTGACTCCTGCACTGAAGATCCTTTTGTGCATGATTCTTTGGAAGAATGTGCCGGCACTGAGCCCTTCAGCTTCAACGAAGCCCAGAAGACGTTTTGCACGGGCGTGGGCTTCAATTGCAGTCAAGCAGCGAACACGTGCCCTAGCTGGTTGGGAGCGTCGACACTATGATGGAGCAGGCCATTCTTTTAGTCAAGCTGAATAGGAATATCAAAAGCATGGCTTCCTTTTTTGCAAATAAGGGCCAGTCACATAGATTTGTTGATGCATGAAGATTTGTATGCCTTAATTGACATTCAAAACAGAACATTTAATTCAACTTGAGTTTTAATTAACAAAATCTTTAATTTGTAGCAAGAAGCTACAAGTGGCTCCTGGCCTTACTAGAAGCAAAAACGCTACTAGGAGCAAAGGGCATCGCTACTAGGAGCAAGGACGCAACGAATGGGGCTTAATTTAAGAAGTTCTTATTCTTTAATTTGTTCATCTATGACAATCAAGCGAAAGCATGTGTGTGTGTGTGTCACATCGCGTGCTTTCTTTTTTGTGGCAGTTGGCCCGGCGGCCGTCCTGAGACGTCCTTGTTTTTTGCCTGCTCCCCCCCTCCCTACTTAACTAAGTAGGCGCCCTAATTAAGTCAGGAACTGAGGTAGCTAGGTAACTAGTAGGTACAGGACGCGCCTAAGTAGGACGCAGGATAGCTCACGCTTCTTCCAGGAAGCACTCGCACTAATGATTTGGTTTCTAGATTTTTAGGGAAACTGAAGCTGTGCCACGTGATGTGTGCTGGGAGCGGTATCGTGAAGTGTCGTTTTGAAATTGATTGTGTGCTCAAGTTCACCATGGTGAAGTGCGCTGTACCGCACAGAAGCAGTCAAGTAGGAGAACCTAGAGGCCTTTGCATCCGTTGTTTTGCTTGCCGCCTACTTCACTCTCAACATCTCTCCTTTTGAATGCTCTTGGGAGCCTGTATATACCTTTTTTCAATGCCTGCTCAAGCCTTCGCAGGCCTGATTGATTCCGTCCCTTTCATTTTGTTCTTTGATCGAACTGCAATTGACTATGCTGCGCCGCCAAACTTCCGCAGCTAGTGCAACGACCGTTTGTGAACCACCTTCACACCTGAGTCATCGGAACATGCCACGCCAGCTGTGCCGATTCGCCCCGGTCCCGTTTCTCCGGGCTCGTGGATAAGCGTTTAGAATGTCGGATCTGTCTGTATCAGCAAAAATGATACGTTTAGAATGCCGTGCAGGCTTCGACAAGGCAACCAGGACTCGCCAAAATTCAAAATCCATGAGCTGACGCACGGAGGAGAGGCCACAAGCGCCTCTCGTTGAGCACATCAAAATACATCGAATATACAGGCGATGGCCTCCAACCTAAGAGCGATGGCCTCCACCCTAGTAGCGATGGCCTTTTAAAGGTTGCATTGTAGTAGTATAGATTTTGTAAGTTTCGTACGTCTCAGCGAAGGCTCCTGAAATAGAATGCGCTGAAAGTCGCTTCGGGGCTTAGGGTTTGAAATTGCAAACGTTGATAGAGCACGCAAAACAGCATTAATCAGTTGAGTCAACGGTATTGATTGGGCCACTGAAACAAAACTCATTGGTGATACGTTAGCAACGCGCAAAGTCGAAGAATAGAGCTTACACAGGTGAAGTGATGGATTCGATGCCAAATGAAGAGACACGAAGATTGGCACTCGAGAACTTGTTCACGAACTTTGATGAGGGCAGCGGCACGCTTACCTATGGCCAAGTGTTTGCCATTGCGAAGCCCATCATGGAAAAGTATTCGCTTGATGTGTTGGATGCTTTGGGTCTTGTCATTCAGATAGCTTCAGATACAGATGGCGCCGTCACCAAATCGGAATTTGTGGAGTTTATGTCATCCTTGGAGGAAATGCCTGTTTTCGCCAAAAACAACACGGCCACTCTGAGCGAGCCACTTGCAACAAGATTGAAGAGATTGAGCTTTGAAAAAGTGAAGGATGGAGTGAAGAAGGAGGTGCGAGAATTGGTGGACAGCGTCTCTATGGTCAGCCAAGATTTGTCATATTCAGCCGCACTTCTCCGCAGCCCAAGTCCGGAAGGGATGACAAGGTTCTCTGAAACCGAAAGCGCGTGGCTATGGCGGACCTTGAAGGACATGCTTCTCTTCTTGCCAGTCGGTGCCATTATAGTCGCCCCGCTGACACCTGTGCATTCCCCAGAGACCGCAGCTGTTGCGAATTCGGAACGCTGATGCCAGTTCTGTCATTCGTTAAGGTTGGCACTGCCATCGTCATCGCAATCTTCAAACGCTTGGTTCCTTCATTAGTCCCGTCCTCGTTCCGCAGACCACGCTTGAATTTGATGTGACTTGCTTGCACCAGGTCTTACAATTGATCAGGGCGGAAACTTATAGAGTTGGGACTAGGTCAAGACTTCAAGACCCAATTTACTTGCCCTTGCTGTTCGTTCATCAAGCTTCGTTTCAGCCAGGAGTGCCCGCAGGACAGCTCAGCCAGAGAAAGCTGTGGAAGAAAATGCCCGGCGCCGACAGTGTTCAATTCTGAGAGCAAACCACTTAATGACTTAATGCCAGATGTTCTTGTAAATCGCATGGTGAATATTGACCTCAGACACTTGTTGGTTGAAATAGTATATATATATATTAATATATAGAGACCATGGTGGAGCCATGTGGATTGTCCATTTACATCGCTGCCGTGGGCTCAATTTTCACGCTTGCATTGCTCAGCTGCAGTCGAGCCATTTCTGCACCGTCCAACCATCACATAGCCATGAGCTATGAGACAGCCGACTCACAGAAGGAGGAATTCCGCAAGTATTTGGAGCACCTTGTCTCAACTGTCTCATTTGCAAATAACTTGGCGAGCCCTAACCAAAAATGTGCAGGAATTAATTTGATTAAGTGTATCGGCTAAACATGTTCAAATGCTGACATGGAGTCTTTCTGTGAAGCTTGCCCTCCGAGGAAAAACGGCATAATATCTCAACTCACTCGCGTGCTCGTGGGCTTGTATGAGGAGCCTGAGCGGCCTGCAAATGCCTTGTGCTAAGCCTTCTAAGCTTGCCTGAATGTTTTTGCACGCTCTAGATGTTGGAAAGCTCCAGGCAATCGACTACATCAAGAAATACCTCGGAGCTCCAACAGGCACGGTGCGATATAAGTGTCACAAGAACACCACGGACTACATCTAGAAGGTTGGACTTCAGACTTTACCTTTGCTAGACTCTAGCTAGCTAAGCTAGCTACAAGAACGCCTCAACTAGAGAGAAAACCCGAATAACAAAAGAGAAATGGCCTCCGACCTAAAGCGATGGCCTCCACCCTAGCAGCGATGGCCTCCGGAAAAAAGGTATGTGTCTTACTTCTTTTGGAAAGCTGAGGCGTTGACGTTGAGGAGACCGCCCGATCACAATTCACAGAGTCATGTCAAGTTGTTCAACATCCGGCTTTTGGGTCAGGATTCTGTAACGAAAGCCTTGGGGCGAATATGTCCTTCTTCTGTTTTGAAGTATGGTTGCGCTACACGTGATTGTCCGGTCATGTTGTGCTTTTCTTTGTAAAGCGTTTATATTTGTTGTCATTATGAGGGGGTCACATCCAAGTCTTTTTTCCAGGAGCTAAGGGCGGACAATGATGAGCTCAGGAGGCAGAATGCAGAACTGGAAGCCAAGGTGCAAACGAAGCAGTAGAACTTTAGCGGGGAACGCGTCCGTCATGAGGCAGCTAGCTAGTAGGAAGGGAAGGGAAGGGAAGGGAGGGATAGTACGTGTCTTGGACACAGAGGAGCTCAGGGTTCTTCACATGATGGATTTGGTTCCTGGCTTCTGGGGCAAACTTGAGCTATGAGTTCAGCTATTTGCTTTGCTATGCAGCTTTGCAGTTTTGTAAAAGGTGTTTCAGTGGGCATGTTGTGCTGCCAGGTTGCCAGCCTCACGCAGCAATTGAAGGAGCTTCAAACGGAGCAGGAAGAGCAGGATGGATGAGAGCAGCTAGGTCGCTCTTGGGTTGGAGGCCATCGCTACTAGGGTGGAGTAGCTAGGTCGCTAGGTCAAGTAAAGCTCACGCGACCTATGCACATCACATGTGCACTGCTTCTGCGCTGTTGGCCAAGGTATGGGCTTTGAAGGCCAACACATGCAAATGGTCATTGTTTGACATGTTGCTTCTTTCTGTCAATTTTCTTGGTACGACATCATTTGCCTCGCTCTGCTTGCGCAAGGCAAGGCAAAGTCTGAGCCTGGAAGAACACAGGAGCAACTGATAGCGTTTGGCAAAAAATGAATTCTATGCAAGCCTTTTCCTCGCTGCTTGCGCTCATTACTTTCCATTAGACCCAGGCAAATGGAAAAGCCAATTGATTGTTCCAATCAACGGGCATTTCTGATCGAGAACGTGCTCTAAAGGCCTGTACTTACAAAACCTAATTAGTTCCAAACAGACACTTGTGTCTCCTGTCTCAACTACGTTTATTTGTAGTTTGGCGTGTTGATTGCCGTTCCATGTATTGTATCCTTTGCCTATCTTTCACTCTTTGAGGATGACCACCCCTGGAGGTGCACATGACCTCACCAGGCACACGCAACAATGCAATCATCCAAACCCAACGACCCACCTGACCGGGTGGAACTCCCACAGCGGAGCGGACTGCGAAGAGGATGAATCTCGTTGCTAAAGCTTTTGGACAGATTTCACGTGGCTTGAAATTAGTTCGTGATGTCTTCCAATGCCATGAACACTTCAGCTCGAAACTTCCCTCTCAGTGCATCGATCAAGTCAAGCAAGTCCTCGGCTCAACAAGCCCATTCGAGCACCACGCGCTAAGCACGCCAACACGTAGAGCAAGCAGGCGGAGCTGCAGAGCCAAGCACCCCATCCGTGAAGCCGTAAAAATTGAAGAGGCTTTGTGTGTGTACGAGCCATGGCCGCCAACCTAATAGCAATGGCCTTCAGCCTAGCAGCGATGGTCTCCACCCTAGTAGCAATGGCCTAAAACCAGTCCTAAAACCTAGAAGAAAGCAGTTTTTCATGTGGTATGTAAAGAAAGCATTGCCAATGTTGCTTGCAATTGACTCAAATTTCTTGCGTGACACAAGTTCAAGTTCAGTCCGCTGAGAATGTTGTATTCAAAGAAAATATTTTTACTGGAGGAAGATTTGCCACAAGAAAACTCAGTTGGAAGCAAAGCGGGGCTTGTTCTGTCAGCAGTTTGCAACATGGGGTAAATGTAGTTTTCTACCAAGATGCCTAAACTCCCTTTTGACTGCAACGGTTGCACAAAAGCTGTGGCCTCGTAGGCAGCCAGAGACTAGCTAAGCCATCCAGATCAAAGCATGCCCTTGGCTGTATGGGTGTCGGTCTCACTTGATTTTATGGGTAGTGAGGTGTTCTCCATCGCAATTGAGGAGGTCGAGGAGATGGCCCCCTTAGTGCTGCACTCCACTTGTTCATGGCGCTTTGAAGCAAGGCGTAGTCGCACTCTGGTATTTTCAGGGAGTTCTCGAAGGCTTCCCTACGGTGCCAATCTGAGCGATAACGACTTTGTATAAGAGTCGCTACGAGTATAAAGGCCCTCCATTGCCGGCAAGCCAGCAATACCACATCCTCCACCGTATGAATAAAATCCGCTCGCAACGAAGGTGCTGAGGCGTTGTGTTGGCTCGGGTGAACTGGAAGATTAGCCAGCTTAAGCTTTAGCTTGGGAGGGGGAGGCCCATTGATTTTTTTAGCAAATTGTTTTAAAAAAATTACATCGTGTGTATGATTGTCCGTATGGCTTCGGAGCTAAGCGTGAACTGCATTATCGACAACGTGGGTGCGTTCATCTTGTGTCCTGCCCGACCGAGACAGACAGACTGACAGACCAAGACAGACAGACACACACACTCCGTGCGGGCGGCTTCGAGCGCGAAGCACTATGAATATACTATAAATATCGTATTATATATATAATACATTTTTAGATGATAGCATTTCATATATATTATCTATTTTATATTGGTTTTAAATGAATAGATAGATATTCATTCATTCAAGGTAGGCAGGGTCGGTGATGAGGAATTATTTGATGTCATTCAGTTCACTCACTCCTTTCAGCTTGAGGCTCAAGCCAAAAGGAGTGTCGCTCGTGTGAATCAGGGTCGCTGATTCGCAAGATTCTTTTTGTGTGCGAGCCATGGCTGACGCAGATGCTTGACGCGCGGTTGAGCAGGAGAAGCTGAATACCTGGTGTACCAGGATGGGGATTCAGAGTTCCAGCGACTTGGCTTTTTGGTTTACCTCCTACGAGGAGGCACTTCGTGAAGCTGGTCGCGCAGTGGCAGATGGGTGGGATCTCGCCCGCCGTGAGAGCGAACCGGGGATGGCAGCTCTGGTTCGGCACCTTTTTGCGAGGGAGACAGTTAGCCAGTCTCGCCCGCCACAACCATCCAGTGTTCCGGCTTCTTCATTGCCTTCACCTTCGGTGGCCCGTCCGAAGCCGTCTTCATTTGCTGGGCCTGTCAGGCCTAAGAAGCGGCCAGCCCAGTCGACTGATGCTCCGGGTGGAGTCGCTGCCTTGTTTATTCGTGACCTGCTGGGTATCATGGTGACATTGATGCCTCCACCACCGGCACGACGAGATGAATACATGGCCAATTGGGCCTCTCGCTTGGAGAAGCTGTGTGCCCGCACCGAGGCGGCTACCATCAAGCGCGTGGTCCACACCTGGAAGGACTTGGTGCGCTATATGGATCATTTGGGGCTGAAGTTTCCCGACCCCCATGCATTGGCCACCTTCATCAGGGAGCACCATGGGCCGACACGTGTCTTCACATCCCTGGGCTGGATGATTCGAAACCTTCGTGTACCACTGGATTTGCGGGAAGCTTCCAAACCGGCTCCGGTCCGGAGCACCCGGCTGGGACAGGGGCAGTCCCAGGCCGCCCCGCTTGAGCCGGGCATGGTGATCCACCTGTTGGGGGTCCTGGAGTACACGGCCGAGCATGCTCACTGGCCTATCCTGATGGCCGCGGCGGCCATGGTGTTTGGGCTTATTCGGTTTTGCCACGTGCAGCGGAGCTACCTTATCGGCGCCAACTCCGCCATCATCATCTTCTGGTGCTTCAAAGGCAAGACCGGATCCCGGGACGGATTCACCTGGTCGATCCCTCGGCATTTGGGCAGCCTCGACCTTTATGCCATTTGGACTCGTCAGTTGGACAAGGTCCGCCCACGTCATGGCGAAGGGTATCGTCGTTGGCACTTTTTGGCCTTCGACTCTGACACAGGTGTCCCCGTGTCAATTGGGCAATTCCTTCGAGTGGTCGACCCTATTTCGATGGCGTTCTGGATGTGCAGAACCTCAGCTCGTACAGCTTCAGGCGGGTGGTGCCCACCTTAGCGGGGATCGTGCGGCTCACTGACACCGAGCGCCTTGCCATTGGACAATGGACGGACGCTGCGAGTGGGGGCTCTACAGCGCAGACTCCATTGCGTTACGATGCTCGGAAACAGAAGCAAGGCCATCAACTCCGGCTTGCTGCTGCTTTGTTCCTGGCCAGCGCCTCCGAGCTTCTTTGGGAAGAAATCAAGACTACATCCGCTGTGGAGCGCTGGTCCGAAGCTATGATTGCCGCGGACGAATTGCTGTCAGAGAACCCCAGGGTCATTCGCGCCTCGTCTGAAGACATCCCTGGCATGCCCATGGTGAAGTCGTTGTTGCCGGCGTCCCTGGCGGTAATCCGTACAGCTGGACAGAAGATTATTCGGGCTTTGCGCAAGCGGGCAGCTACAGCTTCGACGGGATCTTCGTCCTCACAACCGCAGCCGAAGCCTTCGGTGTCTCCACGCTTGGCGCCCAGGCCGGATGAGCCTCCTTTGCAGAGGCGACGCCTCCCTCAGAAGAAGGCGGCGCAGGCGGCGCCCGAGCAGGTGACTCCTGCCCCTGTGGTACTGCCTGTACCGGCCAGTCAGGCCACGGTGGAGCCACCATCCCCTGTCAGGGTGCCGGGGACTCCGGCAGTGGCTGTCAAGAAGAAGCCGCAGCCACCGGCTGCCAAGGCGCGCCCTCCGCCGCCAGCGGGGCCGCTCAATGAGGTCTCCGATGCAATGTTCGATATTGCCGCTCGTGAACGTTGGGCACACCCTGGACATGGTGGACGACCAGAACCCCCTACATTGGTCTTCTGTGGCGCTGACGGCCATGGGTCGCTCTACCTTGCTGGTCTGCCGAAAGACCCTCGGTGGGTGAGCGGCAATGATATTGGGTTCATTGCCTCAGCTATGGAGAAAACCGCCGCTGAGTGTCCTGGTGGGGTCGCGCAGCGAGATTGTTTCCAAATGTCGTGCCCTGTGGCGTACCAGGGCGTGAAACGTGATCAGGCCCTGCAGGATATTAAACAAGCGGCCTTCGCCACCCTTGCTGCCGGAAAGAATGTTGTGGTCCACTGTCAGGCCAGAGTGCATAGGGCACCAATTCTCATGGCCATCCTCCTTGCCTGGATCAAGCGCACCGACTTCGACCAGGAGTACACGCGACTGGAAGGGCTGAGA